GGCGCGCAGGTGCATCATCAGTGCATAGCTCAATTTTTATAAGGTCTAAGTTCAAAGATCTCATCTCTTATAACAAATGGAGAGGGGACATGTAAAAATTGCTTTTGGAATCGAACTTCTTTATAACGGAGGCCTCTTAATTAATTATTATTTTTTTATCGGCATCAGAATTTACTTATTAGGAGTATAAAGGGTATTTTGACCAATTACAAGCGACAAGCAAGTCTACAAAGACCATACAATTACAAATAAAAAGGGTAACACAATTAAACACAAAAAGTATATACTAATCCACACTCACATTCTAAAAGTTAAATATCTTTTTTTATCCTTAAAATTTAAAATATGATCCTTTTTTTATCTTTTCATTAAATTTTTACTGACTTGTTACGTTAATTAACGGAATGACTTGATATTTGTTTTATATAAATGATATTATAAATGATGTGAAAATTACTTGGGTAAAATTATAAATCCATGTAAGCATTTCATCTAAATATTTTGAACAACGTGTATAAATTAAAACATTTACTTCTTAATTTATGAATTAAATGAATTTAAACATAATTAACTTTAATTTCTTCATCTTCTTCTTTCTCCTCATCCTCACCCTCATCCTTGGCATCATCATGTCATCGTTTATCTTCACCATCCTCTTTGCCATCCTCTTCATCATCTTCACCATCCTCTTTCTATTCATCATCCTGAGTTCCTCGTAGAACCCAAGCAACCCAAGTTCTTAGTTCCTTGTGGAACCTGGTTCTCGGTTTCTCGAAGAACCCAGGTTTTTAAATTCTTTTTCTTTTTAAAGGAATTTGTTGAACTAATTAAGGAGAAATGAGATGGGCACCCGAACCACATTTCGTAGATTGGTACAAGAATTCCAGATTTGGGGTTCATTGGGGAAGAAGGTATTTAAGGGAAATATGAAGGTGGAGGCAATTTTGTCATTTTGAATTTGATAAGTTAATGTGTTTTTCAAACTTTGGGAGTTTTTCATTTTCTCATTATTAATCTGATAAGTGAATGTCTATAGATTTTGAATTTGCAATTTTGTCATTTATGCATGGGACGAACCCCATGCTTGGGATTGCAACGAACCTCGGCGCCTGGGTTTGCGACGAACCGAGCTCTTGGGTTCACCTTTCCATATCTGATTTCCAGAAGGCAAAGGTAAAAAAAAAAAAAAAATTGAAGGCAAGAGGAAAGAGAGGATAAGACAGAAGGGTGAAGAAGATGGGGGCAAATTAATAATTAAAGTCAAGTGCTCCTAATTACAAAATAACCTCTAAAATATTTATAATGGTAATTATGTAATTATGTAATTAAATGATTTTTAAGGTCATATTAGACCAAAAATTTGGTCATGTCATCAATTTTTTCCAGATGGATTTTTCATGTAATTTAAGTAAAGAAAAAAATAAGTTTTTTCGTTAATTAACCTGTCACATTAGCAAAAATTTAACAGAGAGACAAAAGAAGAATCGGATTTTAAACTTTTAGGACAAAAAAAAGAGATTTTTTCAATATAGGGACTAAAAATGGGTTTTTTCGATAGTAAAGGGACTAAAAAGGATATTTAACCATCAATTTTTGTTTTATAGCAGCCATACTCTTAAGTATAACCAAATTTAAATTAATAAAATTAGCCAAATTAACCAAATACACAGTATTTTTGCACTTGGCCCTAGAGGCCCAATGGCACTAGCCATTGAAAAGTGCATTTCCCCCTCCCCTATCAAAAAGTTCAAAAAAAAAAAAAAAATACACAGTATTTTGTGTGGTCATAACAATTATTTGTGTGATTAGAACTATGGCACTTCTTCCTCCTCCCTCTATTTTCAGATCCAACAGTTAGGAGGATGAATAAGAAGTAGAAACATGCTTTGTAATTTAAAAAGTATCGTACAATTTAAATTATAATAGGTTACATAAGTTAAACGATTAGATAAAGATCAAACTTTTGATATTAAGGGTTGTATTATTTATTATTTTATAATTTAAATTATAAAACAAGAAACTCTTTTAAATTTGTATAATAATTTTTTTATTTACTAATTTGTGTAATAATTGTTTCCCTAAGGAGTGCTACGTACATTTGGTGTGGGTCTAAATGTACAAGCACTCCTCATCCCATTGGTCCTTGTAATTTTTAAGTTTTATGTTTTATTTTTTTAAAGAAAAAAATCCGACATTCGCCTGAGCGCAAGCATCATTTCTTTTGTTGCCATATGTCCAAGCCTCTGCATGTTGAAGATGTGATAAAAATATTTCCATCATTATTTATATACCATATAAAAAAATTACTTAAAAGGTATATGTAACAAAATCAAACAATTTATATTTTAAAATAGAGCATGTACAAGAAATCTTAATCTAACGTCGGAATAGAATCAATGATTTAATATGCGAGTCCAGTTAGAGGTTTACATTATTCATGACTAAAATTTTCAATTGTTAATGAATTTGTCTAATTGATGCCTTAAAGCACAGATTAAGAGTGTATTATATATTTTTTTTGTCATAAATTTATATTAAAAAAATAAAAATCAAATTTTAAATTATTAATTGTCTAATTAAATTCATTCACTTAATACTGACGTTAAAATTAATATCAATTTTTATATTTTTTATGTATATTTATAATAAAAAATACTATTAACCTATACCTTAAAAGTATATGTTAAAAAAAACCCATTATTAATTGATCCATGTATTGCAACTTTCATGCGGACAAAAAAGGATAAGGACCGTTAAAATGAGAGTGACAATTGACAAAGCAAGTGTAGCTTTCAACTTTTAAAATATTTAGGTTTCTTGACAAAGAAAGTGTTGCTTTCAACTTTTAAAATATTTAAGTTTCTTGCTTATAATTTTCATTTCCATGCAAAAGCCTCCTAGAGTACGTGCGTGTGTTAGAGATTACCAACTTTACTTTTGATATTGAAGAGAAAGAATGAAGTTTTGTAATTTAGCTTCCATAAAAAATTTTCATAACTTTTGTATGAGTAAGACTTGACATAAGTCTCCCTTATTTAATTAGGAGGTTAGAGTTGTCGTTTAACGTGGATTGAATTGCAAAAATTATTTCTAATGAAAAATTAAACATTTAAATTAATTATAGTTTTTAAAAATATTAATTTATAAAAATTTAATAATAGATATTAACCGGTCCATTAACTATCATAAAATTATAATTACTAGTTGTTTTTAATAATTAAGTTAAATAATCAATAACTTAAATAGTTTAATTTCCTTCCATTAAAAATAAGAGATTTTGATTTCAAATCGAATGACACGTGAGTGAAATGAGGTAAAAGATGAAAATAATTACTTTTTATTATACAATCAAAATAAAAAAAAAATAATTAAATTAAATACATCAATATTATTTTTAAATAACCTCAACAATTATTTGTGTAAACATTATCGCAGCCCGAAAGAAGGGCTTATCTAATTAACACAGAAATCAAGGGCAAAGTGATTAAGCATAACGCAAATCCTTTTCTTTGTAAGCATCCCAACCAGTTTTCCTGTAAAAAATGCAATGGAAAAAGCAACCCTTTTTCATTAATAAGCAACATTCTATCCCTGCATCAAAATTAAGGCGCACCAGATCCAAAGCACACCACCAACTCAGGAGACCAACCCTCCAGTACTCCACCACTGCACGTGCAGCTCTCCTTGGCTAGTTGGCTTGGCCCCTTAAATATTTTATTTTTATTTTCACGGAAAATAAAAAAAGAGCAACACCCAGACGGCAACCACGGCATAACAGTGGGGCTATCATCCCGACACGTGTAACTGCCAGTCTTAATTCCGACAATGCCCTTCCTCTTCTCCGCTGGTGCCACCCAGGACACCTCCCTGTCTGGTTCTGTTTTTCCTTACCTCACCCCTCACCTCCCCTGCCTTTGTCTTTCCTGCTACTACCTGATAACTCTCAGTCATCTCTCCAAAAAGGTTTTTTTTTTTTTTTTACTTTAACGGTTTTCAGTACTTCCAATATTCAACTGGCAAAAAATTACTAACTAAAGATACAAAAAGAAAAATGAAGATATTATAAGAATAATTTTTTTATATTAATTTTTGATATAATTTTTATATATTATTAAATAAATAAATAAATAAATAAATTTAATATTATAACTTTTAAATAAATAAATAAAATTAATTATTTAAATAATACGTAAAATTATAACAAAAATAATAAAAAAAGTTATTTCAAAATCATATTTCAAAGAAAAACCGTTTCTCTCATCCTTCCTTTCGTCAGCTGTACTGGAAATAGGGAATATTATCTCAACAGAAAATCACATCCTGATCTTCTGCTCTTTCTACATTTTCCTGGACCAATTCTTCATTTATCTTTTCTAGTTTTGAATGTAAAGAAAAAGAAGGAATTTTTATTTTTGAAGGTGATTGGAATTGGACGCTGATAATTCTAATGATTGAGATGGGTGGATGGAAGCACAAATCAGGACCATTTGGATTCTTATTTTAGCATTTTTGGTGTCCTTTCAGCGGTCCCCATTTGAACTATGTACATGTTACAGTCCATGAGAAAACGCGCCCCATATTAATATTAGTGCCTAAAGGGAACCATGTGCCCTGATTTTTCGAGGAATATTCCGAGATAGAGACGAGCGGAATGAGTAAAAGGATTAGAAGCTGGGTAATGATGACATAACAAAACTGCAGATGGAACGATTGCGGAAAAGGGATGGGAAGAAGAATTCAAACAAGAATCACCTTTCAAATGCAAATCCAAATATCATTAATGCTTGGAGACCCAAAATTTCCCGTTAGAACAATTAAGCAACATAAATGATTGAACAAAAGTAGGAAGATTTTTTTTTTTTAATTTAGAATCTTACATTATACAATAAAAAATAATTTACCTCATTTATATATCATATAATTTAAATTTAAGATTAAAAATTACCATTAAACTATATTAGTTTTGTTGAGAAATGAAGGAGAAATTAATAGAGTGATTTAAATAAGTGGGAGTTTTATTTCCAAATTGGACTAAGATTTGCAGCACAAAACAGAGAGATCTGCTTACATTAAATGAAAAAAAAAAGGGAGGAAAAAACTGTACAAAAACCAGAGACCTCTGAGTATTTTCCTTCTTTTGTGTTTATGGCTTCAAACGAACCCACTGGTAGCAGCCTTCAAGTGGCACGTCCTTGGCAATGTCATAATTATACCTGCCAAAAAAGTGCAGGAGAGTTTGTTAGTTAAGGTCTGAAATTTTCTATGTTCTACCAGACGCTAAATTGAGCCTGCATGGTGATACTTGTTATCATACGCACCACTCACGTGGAACGCGAAAAGAATACCATTACCGAATCCGAAAATCCACTCACTTCATTGCGAATCGTTTCTGTTCGTACTTCTCGGCGACTGAGAAGAACTCATCGATCTCCGCCTCTGAAGGCATCTTCGCTTCTGCATGCAATTTTCTCGGTTGGTTTGTGGCTGCCACCGGCGATGACTTCTTCACTGTCGAGTCCATTTCCTCGGAGTCTTCTCGAAGCTCGCTGGACGGTGTGGCCTCTCTACTGAAAATGTGAAAAAAATGCAGAAATTTTGTGAGCGTCAAGAGTTTGAATATAGAGAGGCGAGAGTCAAAGAACCGACAATTAAGCTTTGAATTTTGAGGATTAATATTATAATTAATTAATAAGGAAAATTGCAAACAGGAACCTGAATTTGTTGCTACTGTTGATGCAGGTCGAATTTTCGGTTTCGAAACTCTTGGCCTGCAATATAGAGCATATTTATGAACCTTGAATAAGAATTAAAACAACGAATTAAAGCAGAAGAAACGGAAATTTTGAAAAACTGATGAATTTCGAGTTTTTGAAGAGAATAACTAGATTAGAATTTTGCTATAAAAAATGGAGACACAAAATAATTTTGTTCAGCGATCTCTTATTAATTACTTTTCTGAAACAAAAATGGAAAAACATGAGAAAGTATACGCAAAAAACTCGTTTGCTTCATTTTCTTTTCATTTCCTCTGTTTTCCAGGCAACCAAACAGAACAAAAATATTGTTAAATCGTAACTGAAACATTAGGATTCAAAATTCACCTCCAGATCTACGAATCTCAAGCTGTCCTTGACGATTTCACAAGACTCATTGCTAGAGCAGTGAGAAACCAGGGACTCATCGGAGCAAATGCTGGAGCTAAGCTCGCCGACAAGGACAACACCGGAATTCGACGATTTCGCCGGAGAAGCTGCCTTCTCCAGCAAATGCGAGAACAGACGAGGACCTTCCAGCTCCATTTCGGGCGAAGGTAATTCCGATTCCTTTAATATCTTGCTTCTCTTAGACAAAGATACACTGGTACTCGAAACCTCCACATCTGAAGCTCCTGAAATTCGTTTACAGTTTCTAGTACAATCGCCCATTTCTCTCTCTTTCTCGTGAAATCGCCTTTTGTTCTCTTTTCCTTTGAGTTTTCGTTTTGGGTTTCTTGGCTTGCTATTTTGAGAGAGAGAAAGGTGGGGTGGGAATAAGAAGGGGGAAGAGGATGAATTGGGAGCCGTCGATTTTTTTCAACGGCGGAGATTTGGTTTTTGAATCAGAGGTTTGTTACGAAATCGGGGATATGGTCCACGCTCCGTTAGCGGTGACAGGGTGGGATAACGGCACCGTTCAGTTTTGCGGTTTCACTGACACGTCAAAACGCGCAGTTTTGTCAATAATAATAAAAAAAGTCTTAAGGCAGCATCATTTGATTCATTTATTAGTCTTTCGTCCTTCCCCCATTGCCTGTTTTTTTTCTTACATTAAAGTTTGCATTTACTAATAAGAAAATATTGTATTGTACGATAGATTCTTACGCAAGGAAATAGGATAAGAAGGTGCATTTTAAAATTATTTAAAAAATTAATTTTGAAATATTTGAAAATTAATTTGAAAGTATTTGATAATAAATAAAATAATAATAATAATAATAATAATAATAATTTTTTTATAAAATTGGTGTTAGTAGGTGTTACAACTATTACAATTATCAAATTAAGATTCTGCTAGATGAGGAATAATTAATAGTGATTATGTGTATAATTTAAGAATATAGTACATATTAATCTCAATTTTGTGAATAAATAAGGTTCAAATTTCAAAAACAACAATTTCTCTAATGGATATTTTTAAAAATTAATGGTTAAATTTAATATTCTATTTATATATATTATATATATTAATTTTTAGATTTATTGAATATATAATTAGTTTAATAATTATAAAAACTTTATCATGATTAAAATATATTACAAGTTTCTTATCTAATAATTATAAAAAATTAGATTAACTTGAAAATTGACATATATGATTTATATTATAATTTTTAAAAATATTTATTAAATAGTAGTGTTTTTAAAATTGTGACTCTAATTTTTTATGAAAAATAAGATTGATATACATTTGTCCCATAATTTAAACATAATCAACTATTAAATAAGATAATAGCTATAAATCAAACCAAATTAGACTTGAATAAAAAGAGAGTCCCTATTTACAATGTGAACTAAACAATATTTTTTTCATTTATATATATAAAAAAAAAGTATTAGGAGATCTCAAATGATAGGGCTGGAGGTTAACACGGGACCACAACTAATGATCTCTATTAAAAATGTATTGGAGTTTGAAGGTGTTGCGAGATTGGGCTGGACTTAACTACTGAGTCTAAAAATTTTGATACTGTTTAAAAATGCAGCAAAAAGCTACAGGCAGTCTGTGGCCCCTCGGTGCCTAGGTGATATAGAGGCGATGCATGCATCAAGCCGCCAATAGATGCGCGTTTTTCAACAGTAATTGGAAATCAAACTAGAGTTGTAAACGAGATTAGAAAAGTAAACAGGCAAAGCTCTAATCCTACTACTCAAGGTCTGAAGACTAAGCTCGGTTCAAGCCTAATCAAGCTGTGGCTTAACCCTTTATTTAGCCACTTTAACTTATTAATTGTAAGGTTATTAGCCTATCACCTAAAAATCTAAAGGTATTAGTTCCTCAACCAATATAATTTGAGAAAATTCCCCCTCACCTTAGAGATTTAAAGTGCACATCATTAGTTAGACATTATCTCCATCCTAGTCAGAGACATATCAGCATCTTTATTCGATGTGGTATGTCATTATCGCAATCTCCCTCAATGTAATACAAGTCATAATCTATCATACTAAATAAAAAGATTGAGAAGAGAAAAAGTCAAAACAAAAATAGGTCTTGTCATGGTGGCATGCAATATAGGATTGAGATGTTGATGTGTGGTTGACTAGGATGAAGATAACATCAAACTAATAGTGTACACTTCAAATCCATTAAATAAGGAGGGAATTCCCCCATATAATATTGCTGTAGGGCTAAAAAAATCCTTAAGTTTTTAAATTGGGGGGTCAAATAACCTTTAAATCTAAAATTAAAGGATTAAATGAGGGGGTTGAGCCTTTAGTTTTTGTGGAGCAAACACATCTAAAAGGACCACTATTGTGTATTCAATCATATGAGAAGTCCAATATGATACTTTAGCTTTTAGGGCAAAAAAGATTAGTCAAGGATCCCAACCCTTGACCATGTCATTGATAGTTGAAACAAGTGTTGCAATTGATCTGAGCCACACTATCTTCCTTCTTTTCCATACGTGCAAAACATGATGAAATACATTGAGACAAAGGCCTAGGCAAAAACCTACAAAAGAAAGACGCAAACCTACCTTTATTCATCCTCCCTAATCACCAAGAGGAAGAGAGGCGACAAATAGGGGGAAAACAAGAAACAAAAGAGAGCGGAGGGGGGAAGGGTGAAAGTGGAAGAGAGAGAGTTGATAGTGGATATCTAATGTAGTAAATAGTTGTTATTCATAAATTAAACACTATTATTTGTTTGATTAGGAAAAAAAATAATTATCAATTGTTCCATAATATACAACCAAACCAAACAAGATTTAATTTTGTTAGGTTAAATTATTTAATTTATATCATTAATTTTTTTAAATATAGGTTATAATCAATGTACCTATCACTTTTCTAGTTTGGATAATTGGGGTGTCTTCAAATCTAGTTTCACACACTTCAAGACAAATTTCTCATCAGGTGTTTCAAGGACGTACCTTATGGCATGTTGCATGTAAGTGCCTTAAAACTTAAACTTTAGATCTAATTTAGAAAATGAAACTTATTTATCAGTAAATTCAAAGAGTTTGATGTCTCAATGACTTAATAAAGGAATTAAGTAATGTCCCTTAATTAAGGAATGTATTACTAGTTAAGAGTTTGAGTTTCTATATTAAAAATCTCAAATTTGAATCTTGAGATGAGTTGGGTGGAATTTGGGAAGGAGAGGGCTAGGGACTAAAGGGTTACTCCCTATTTGTATAATCAATGATTCAACATACCAAAAGAAAAATTGAATTGCTCATGGCATAAATAGGACTCAGGACTGATTTACTACTGTATATTACTATAAATGACAATAGTTTGGTAAGTATATATATTAGGCAGTTAGCTGTAGCCAGGAATTTTGGTGGTACATTTTATTAGTAATTGCTGTTGCAAACAAAATTATTGGGATACCAGATTAATTTTTACGGCCCGATAGTGGTTGGATTACGTATAAATGACAATAGTTTCTTACTTTCCAAATTTACTTTTCGCTGTCTATTTTTTATTGTCTCTTAAATGTAAGCTGTATAAATGCACATGAATAGTAATTATACAGATGATGTACCTTTATACACCCTTAAACTATCTCAGTTGGTAGATTAAAACAAGTACCCAAACTACCAATGTCAACTCTCTTTGAAAAGGGAGTAATGACACATTCGAAGAGCCTCCACTCTACTTAATTTGGGAACAAAATTTCGAGCCAAACTCCCCAAAAAGAGCAACGTAGCTAAGGAAATCTTTGATACGGGCTTATGCTCTTTTGTAAACAAATAAAGAACTAAGAGGGAAATCCAACCCGAGTTATGGCAGATTACCGTTGCAAATAAAATTTTTGAAATAGATAGTGATTAGTATAATTTCTTATTCAACACAATATTCAACATTTATGAAAAAATTATTATTTTTTAATTTAAAATTAAAAACATATAAATTTAAAAATACAATTATATATATAATACAGTAACTTATTAAATCAGTTTTATATTTATATTATATTTTAATAACAAAACTAAACAACATTTAAAAATATGTTGAATTAAAAATGTACTAATTATTTTTCTTAATAGAATACTAGTTACCAGATGCCAAATATATACTGCGCAGGCTGGTGGTTGGATTATTATAAATGGAAATAGTTTGTTAGCTCCCTTATTTACTTTTCGCTGTCTGATTTCTTATTGTCTCTTAAATGTAAGCTATATGCATGCCCATGTATATTAATTATATGGGTAATTATTAGGAGACCGACGGTACTCCTCTAGACCGATTGAGGACGAGCTGTACTTTTGCCGCCCCCCCCAGGCTGTTTATTTCATTTTTCCATGTTATAACAAAACTAAGAATTGATCTCTTGATCGATTTAGCAATTTATACTTATTTTGGTACCTCAACTTGTTTGAACTAGTTTTTAGTTTTTTAACTTTATATATTTAGAATTTAGTTTTAATTGTGCTAGGTTCTGATTGCTTTAAATTTTAATATTTAAAATGTTAGGTAAATTTTTTAAAGTTTAGGATTTATGGTGCATTTAAGGTTTAGAATTTTTAGAGTTATATAAGGTTTATATTATTAGGTTTTAAGTTTTAATATTTAAATTTTAAGGTTTAATAATTCAAAAATTAAATTAAAAATGGAAATTAAAATTTATTATATTCTACAAAGAAAAAAAAAAGAGAAGATATAGGACCTATCGGCTTCGGGACTAGTCCATCCACTATAGCATTCCCTAATTATATATATCATCTCTTTAAGGATTAATGTACAAATTGATCTATTTTAAAATTACATTTTTTGTCCCAGAATGATAGAAGTTATTTTATTTTATTTTTAAAAGAAGGAGTTCAAAATAATTTTTGTTTTTACCTAAATTACCCTAGAAAAGATAAAGATAAAGAAATATATTTTTTTAATAATAGAATAGATAATTAAGTCAAAAGATAATGATAAGGTTAATTAGATAGAGAAAAATATGTGTCTTCTTTAAAATATGAAAAAAATATTAATTTGGGACAAATTATAAATAAAAAATATCTTTTGTTTTAAAATAATAATTATTTTTAAATAAATTTAATCACAATTGGGTCTAAACTTATTTTTAAAAAATAATAATTTTGGAACACATAATGAAAATTGGAAGTTTAAGTTTTTTGTGTATATATAAAGGCAATTTTCCTAGGTTTAAGTTGGATGTAACAATTTTAAATTTTGAGTTGAATATCTAGAAAAGAAAAGAAAAGAGAGAGAGAGAGAGAGAAAAGGAAAACAGAGAGGAAGAAATCTTATTAGCCTTTAACATAGTGTAAAGTGGACCATATACATAGTGTCAACTAAGTTCACTGAAATTTTTTTCAACATACCTAGAATGGCTAACATATATAGCACAAGTGGTATTAGCCTGTTTCAAACTCCCACCCTACCCCCCATGTGTTTGGTGTCTTAAGATTTCGTCTTGAGACGAGAGTTCATTGGCATTTCAATTTATTTTACTTTATTTAAACATGTGTGCATGAATGTTTAAGAGAGAGAAAGAAAACCCTAGATCTAGACTCAAACAAAGTTAGGGAACCATACCTATCAAGGCACATTCAGATGAATTGAAAGAGTATATGTCTAATTAAGACATGTTTTTATTGGACAAAAATGGTCCTGATTACAATTTCAACCTTAAGAATTTTGTTGTCTCCTTTCAAGTGTTAAAAGCACACTTTTTGGCCAAATTTTTTGTTTCCATCGTTGAAGAGGACCTCCGTAACCCTTGCTTTGAAAGAGTAACTGTGTTGGTCGGTCAGTACGTGTGGATGGATGTCGGCCATTAGGATTTGAAAATTTGTTCCGAAGACTAATTGGGTTGATGACAAAATTTTTTTCATAATTAATTTTCTTCTCTGAAGAGACAAAAAAAGATTTGGGAGGTAAGGATATTTTTTTGGAATACCGGGAGTTCAAATAAAACTCAATTCATAAGTTTAAATGCTATTTCGAATCCAAAAAATAAATTTATTAGGTGTAAATATATATATATATATATATATCTTTACATGATATATACTTGTCTATCACATAATTTCAAAGCAAGACTTTTTATCAGACGACGTCCAACAATACTAAGCATTTAGTTCTTACACAATGTCTTACTAGATTAGATATATATATATATTTTTTTTACTAACCTCAGCATTCGGTAGTTACATTAGTCTTAATGAATCTAAAATTAAGTCACGTTGAATCCTATAAAAGAATAAACTCTCTTAACATATGTTTTTTCATTCACAATAGTCAAATTCAAAATTTTATTTAAGGAGAATTGATCTCCTTCTACTCAAATCAACAAGTTATTGATATTAAATTATATACTGTTAAATGCACTGAAACTTAAGTTAAACCCCTAGCTACTAGGTCAAGTACCATGGACCTGGAGGAGCCTCTCCTGGTTACATTAATTCAATTCCTGATCTATATAGAGAGTAGGTAATAGATCAATCCAGTGATCAAGTATGTTTTTGGTTCCGATGCATTCCCTTCTGCCATGCAGAAAATTAATCCGGTAAGTAAATTATATAGACGTGGATCTGTCTTTTAGTTTTGGTAGATTGAGGAGTAGTGGGGGACCAAAGTAATACTACCGGAAGTAGAAGCAGTAGCCAGCAGAGCCAGCCTACCTAAAGTTAATGCATTAGATAGGGGCATCAAAGCGAAATAGTAGTAGAACTCATATACAGGCCAAAAAAATAGAGAGAAAAATATGGATCAACATAAGTTTGGAATCTAATGTGTATTCACCAGACTCTGGCAAAATTTATGTGGCATTGATTTGTTTGTGTACCAGGGTATGGCATAGGTATTGATTATATCTAGGGGCAGAATTACTTGGAGGGAGGGTTAGGCATGGGCCTACCTAGACCTCAAAAAATAAGAAATAAAAAGATTAGGAACAAGGTTGCAAAGAAAAAAAGTCAAAGGCCCTACCATAAATTTATTGATAGAGTAGAGAAAAAAGTCTTAGAATTAAAAGTTAAAAGGAAAAAGGCAATTATACTTAGGGTGTGTTTGATTCACGGAAAATATTTTCATTTTAGAAAATTTTTTAAGATTGTTTTTTAATGTTTGGAATACTTCAATAAACTTTTTTAAGAAAATGTTTTCTATTATTTGGTAAGTAATGAAAAATTTTTAATATTTTCAAAATCTTAATCAATTAAAGTTGTGTAAATTAAAGTTAATAATTAGGTCATTACTCGTTATATACTAAACTAAAAGTTTAATTAACAAAAAGTTTTAAAAAATAGAGGAAGACGGCTGTTCATCTTCTCCAACTAATCTCTTCTTCTCCGGTAAAAATGAGGCTTGGATTGGCCATGATTTCTAGAAAAAAATATTTTCTATTGTTTGGTACCCTTCTCTCTGAATAACCATTATCTCCCCTACTTTCACAATTTGATCAAGAGAAACCACAGAATCTCCAATTGCAAATTGGCAATCCAAAATCTACAAATGTATAAATACTGCTTAAAGTCTTAAACCTTAACGGCCACTCCAGTAGGACAGAAGTTTAGATATCATAACGTGAATATTATGAAACTCAAAAGGCTACTGAAAAATGAGAATAAAGGTATACCTACAATAAATTATGCTTCATTTTCTTATTTTTATTGCTCTTTTCAGCATTTTTTGATTCTCTTGTGAAAATTCATACGTACAATTTTTATATGATATCAAAAATTAAGTTTTGTGTTAATGAGTTTGTTATTAGTTTATCTGAAACGACCTGAAGTTAATACTAAGTTTATATGTAAGAGTGTATATTAAACCATATGAAAACATATTGAATGAGAAAATCCCACAAAATTAAATATAAAAAATATTATATCATTTATTACCTATTGATTTTAAATTGGATATAACCTTTGTGTTGAAATCCATATATACAGTTTTCACACGCTATCTGTCTCCCTCCGGCCTCCTTTTTTATGACCCAAGGACTTGCGTTTTTGTTGTTTGGATCCTTTAAGAATCCTGGTGTTTTTGAGGAAAATGACTTCCGGATTAAAAAATCCGCAAGTTATTTTCTAGGAATGGTTGCTTGTATTTTCCCATGGACTGAAATTGATTTCCCTTGACTTATTTTTCAAAGGATTACCAAACATCAGAAAGCGCAGAAAATAATTTCTGGAAAACATTTTCTTGCAAACCAACCAACCCTTTGTTTCCCCTTAATTCCACTCTTGTGAAATCTGTTTATAGTATTGTATGCTAGCAAGGGTTGGTGGGGTTTAGTAATTAACGTTGTTTCCTGCCAAAGATGCTTTTGGGCAAGTGATAAAAGCTGACGTTACGTAACCTTGAGGTTATTGGTTCGTCATATATATATATATATATATATATGTATAACGTACATTTTTTCAGTTTTTTTTTTATAAAAATTTTGTACTATATTCAAATTAAGATATTTATGTTTTGTACAATTTATATGTTATATTTGTACTTTATTAAAAAAAAAGTAACGTCGTTTTTTTATTATCGGAATTATTTATGTATTTATTATTAGTACTTTGTGTTTAAAGATTGAATCATTGTGAAAAAAATTTTAGTTGTATTATAAAGGTCTAAATTAAAATATAGTAAATACATATTTTTATTATAAATTCATATTAAAAAATAAAAATTAATTATAAATTTTAAATTATTTAATTAAATTTATTTATTTAACATTAATATTAAAATTAATGTTAATTTTTATTTTATATATATATTTATTATAAAAAAGTACCAACATAAATTTTAAAAAAAAAAACCTTATTTTAACAGGGCACGTAACCAAGCACCCTGAAAACCGAGAAGGGCCTTCACTTTGGATTCCTTGGAAACTGCAGTCAAGCCTCTAGAGTCTAGATGCATGGGGACGACATGTAGAGAAATTAAATTTTTATTTTGACCGTCGAGGAAAAAATAAGTTGTCTCCATACATAATATCCAACAGTTAGCATCTGTTCAAGTGATAAAATTATTATGGCATCTGTACTGTATTTATTTACAAGAAGAGTATTCTTACTTTGGTAATTTACAAGAGAAAATTAATATGCCTATTTTTTTTTTTTATTCATCAAAAGTTACCTATTTGATTTCACAAGATTTAAATGTTTAATTTTAAATTAAATTAAAAATTTTAAATTAATAAGTACTAATTGACCGAACCTTATTAAATACTTAATTGTTTCTTATGACCTAGGTTTGAATTTTTTTTAATAAAAAAATAATTAAATTAATAAATTAATATCTATTCTAAAAGATATTAAACCTAAAATCAAGAGGACATTTCACCTACTACTTTTTTAACAGCAGTGACACAATAGAGAAATGCTAGGTTTGAATTCTTAGAATACGTAAGTTAGAGAAAAACAGAGAACGTAAGTTAGAGAAAAACAGAGAGGATGTGATAGAATTGAA